TGCAATTTTAAAGACTTTTCCAGTATGAAAGTCGAATTAATAACAACAGTAGAAATGGAAAGTGGTATAAAAATACAAATGAAGAAGTGAGATACGCATTTGAAAATATGAAAAATACTCTCGGCACAGACTGTGAATCTGTTGAATAATTGAAATTTCATATACCTACATAAACTTACCGAATTATTCAACGTCAAATATAAAACAGATGTTTGTATAATTTCTTCTTTCCCGATCCCGAAAAATAAAGCTAAAAAATGTGAAAATCGTGGAACCATTAAATCTAATGAGCCACGCCAAAAAGTTTTCAAATATACGTATATAGCACAAATTGGATAAAAACGTAACATCAAGTTGGTTTCCGCAACGGTTTAAAACTAGAGAGGACCTATTTGCACTAACACAACGATGTTTAAAAATAAACAATGTTTAGTTTGTGGATTATGAGAAAACGTTTGATAGAATGAGCGGCACAACCAATTCATGATACTTTTTAAACAAAAACAAACAGACACACGAGTTTTTTTTTGTGTGATAGTGAAAATTTAAAGAACGTACCTGACGTGAGTTGGATTCATAGTAGACGGAGTACGTTCGAACGCAATTCTCCTTTTGGGGATCTTTCCCTCGGATGCATTCATGGTACAATGTCTACAAACTAAAACCACAGACCGTTTTCTCACGTGCGCAGCCAACCTTTCTGTTCTCTTTTCTTTTACTCTCTGTTGCTTATGTTTACACCTATTCTCTCCCTCTCTCTTCCCCTCTCTATCTCTCTAAAATCTCCTTTCTGTTAACAATTTTTGTCACAGCCTCCAGCACTTCTTTAATTCATTTTGCCCCTTTTTACTGCGGCCATAAAATTGTGTGCTCCTAGATACCCACTCTTGCATATAGCTTAACTCTTTCGTCATTAAACTTACTGTATTCGAACACGCAGTATTCTGTTGTGTCGCTTACTCCTCGTTCCATACAATTAGCATATTTGCCTTGCCCATCTTCTCAAAGCATGCTCTAAATGTACCGTGTCCCGTAAGAAATTGCGTGAAGAAGTAGTTCGTGATTTTATATTTGTAGTCCACCTACTCCTCCACAACCTGGATCAGAGTTCTTGTCCATGCAGTCCTTCGCTAGTTTACCCACTATTCCTGCCATTTTGTAATAGTTTCTACTATTTCTTCTACCTTCTCTTGATTACTCTAGCTGTATGCTTTGGCTCTCTGGCTCTGGCTAATTAGGCGAGATTAAGATGCAACGATCAGAAAAATTTTCGGCCGAAGAGGACCAATTGGAAGACGAGCCAGATGAAGACCAAAACTTAGGTATCAAATTATGATCCAAAGCCTTCTGGAGAAGGCTTTGGCTCATAACGAGCTATAATGCCACTGATGAGATGTTTTGGCTCTCTCTTTTACCTGCAGGTCTATTAGTGGTACCTCAGCTATAACTTGTAGGGCTACAGTCGAGGTCGTTCTATAGGTGCCTATGACCCTTAATAGGGCCTTTCTTTGGACCTTTTCTAAAATGTCTTTATTAGTTACTTCCGTAAAAGGCTTCCGTTTTAGCGAGTGTCAAATCTCGGTCTTTCAACCAGGTTTTCACCCTTCCCAGTGCAGCATTGGCTGAGTTCATTATAAGCCTATTTTCATTGTACTCTACTAGAACGACCAGGTCTTTAGGTATAGCCTGTGTCTCTTCTAATTCTTCCTCTAGTATATAATTGTAAAGGATGTTCCAGAGCAACGGTCCTAGGACCGAGCCCTGTGGCACTTCTATCTAGGTCTGCATAACATCTCCCCTCGCTATGTTGAACTATCTACTTGAGAAGTATTCCTTCACTATGTTTTGTAGGTATGCAGATAGGTAATTTCTAGAGTATTTCAGTTATTACTCTCCAGCTCGCGCAGTTGAAGGCATTTTTTATGTCCAGAAAGATGGCCATCAGTCACTTGCTCCTACATATGGCAGTTAATTCCGTGATCCGACTGTCTGCATATATTGCAGATTTCCCTTTACTAAACCCGTACTGGCATTCAGACAAGCCCCCTTTATCTATGACTTCTTTTTCTAATCTCGTCATTATAAGTATTGCGAAGATCTTGTCTGATTCGTCTAAAAGCTCCCTGTTCCCCAAGTTCTTTCCCGGGCTTGGGAATAAGTAAGAAGTTTGCCGTTTTCCATTCTTCTGGGAATTTTTTGCTTTCTTAGTACGTCATTCATTATTTCTTTCACCCACGGTGTTTTTTCCTCTAGCCTTTTTTATTTATTTCCTCTTTACAATTTCTGGTAGAACTCTGTCGGATCCAAGTGCTCTCCCAGCCTTCCGTGCTTTCACCACCTCCATCAGCTCCTCTTTAGAGAAGTCTGCTACCGGTGTTTCTACATGCAAAGTTGTGAATTTTTTCTGCAAGAATGTTCCTATTCTTAATTTGAATTAATTGAAAACTATTATGCAAGAGGCACTACACAACTAAATATTTGGAATGGTCATAAATGGAATCCCAAGTAATAAATTACTATGCTTCATTCTTCTTCTTTAGGTACCATCTCCTCTAAGGAGGTTGGTAATCATCACAGCTGTTTTCACTTTTGAGATTGCAGCTCTGAACAAGTCGACGGAACTGCAATTATACCACTGTCTCAGATTGTTGAGCCAGGAGATGCGTCTTCTTCCAATACTTCGTTTTCCCTGCAATATGGTTTGTAGCAACACATATTTATCCCCTCTCATAACGTGGCCGAGATACTGTAACTTTCTTATCTTAATCGTATTCATGATTTCCATTTCCTTTGTCATCTTTCTGAGGACCTCAACATTTGTTATTAGGTCTGTCCAACTTATTTTTAATATTCTTCGGTAGGTCCACATCTCGAATGCTTCAAGTCGATCGCTCACCTCTTTCTTTAAGTTCCAGGCCTCCACCCCATACAGCAGCACCGAAAACACATAAGAACGTAATATTCTTATTTTGAGTTGTAAACTAAGGTCTCTACTGCATAATACTTTTCTCATCTTATTAAATGTTGCTCTAGCTTGTCCAATTCTCATTTTTACTTCTTCTATATACTCGTTATTTTCATTAATAATTGTACCAAGATATCTGTATTTTTTTACTTTTTCTATTGGAACTCCTCGTATGTTTAAAATGTCGTGTTGTTGTGTTTTGAAATTGTCATAAATTTTGTTTTATTAGCATTAAGCGTTAGTCCGCTTTCCTCACTAGCATTTACTACATTATCTAAATGTGTCTGTAGATCTTGTATATTCTCTGCAATTAGTATAGTATCATCGGCATATCTGATATTGTTGATGGGTCTGCCGTTGACTTTTATTCCAATTGTTACATTTTCGAGTGATTTTTTAATTATTTCTTCCGAATATAGATTGAACAATAAGGGGGAGAGTATGCAACCTTGCCTTACGCCTCTTTTTATCTCTACTTCCTCCGAAAGTTCTCTGCCGACTCTGACTTTTGCTGTTTGGTTAAAGTAGAGATGAGTTATTATTCTTAAGTCTTTTTTGTCATTGTGTTTCTCTTTAAGTAACTGTATAAGACGGTTGTGTCGGACCTTATCGAACGCCTTATTATAATCAATAAAACGAACATAGAGTGGTTGGTTTACATCCATACATCTTTCCATGATGACGTTAAATCCAAGTAATGCCTCTCGTGTACCAATGGCATTCCTAAATACAAATTGGGTTTAAGTGATGTCTTGTTCCACTTTTCTGAAAATTCTTAAATGGATAATTTTTAAGAATATTTTTAGTGTGTGACTCATTAGACTAATTATACGGTGGTCATTACATTCCCTTGTATTAGGTTTTTTTGATAATGTAATAAATGTTGATTTGAGCCAATCTCTCGGAATAATACCCGTATATATATATAGTATTATATAAGTCTACTAATACATTGATCTGATCTTCTGATATTAATTTAATTATTTCAGTTGGAATTGTGTCAGGTCCCGCAGTTTTATTAGATTTTGCCAGATTTATTTCATCCTTAGTTATATTTGGACCTATATCATGTTCCTCGCAATCGTTCATGCTATCCTGTCATCCTCAAACTATGCTTCATAGGCATATGCAAACGATACGGTATTAATGGCATAAACTGGAATGTTTACGAATAACTAATTTTCAAAAAAGTTCTTGTTCACACATAAATCTGAACACTACTAATCAATCAATGACGTGCAAGTCATAGTCGCCAATAAAACTATTTGGCGTGTTTACATGTAGGTACCTGGACATTAACAGTAATGATAATGCAACATAATTATCAAAAATTTAAATTTCACGTGTCTAATTTTTAGGAATAAAATCAATATCTTATACAGTATGTAAATAGCCCTCATTATTAAATCCATGATGAACACATAGGAACCTTTGAGAAGTGCATATATTCGTGCCATTTTAAGCGTCATATGAAACTGTGATAGCATATCTACAAGAGGTAAAGAAGGAATGATTAAAATATTTTGTTAGAAAGCAAAGAGATACAACATAACCATAAGTACTAAGAAGTAAGATAATTCATAAAGTAGGGCCTCACATATTACAAATAAAGAGAAATAAACGAAATAATTCAAACGTTAATACAGAGTAAGGAAGTAAAAGAAAGATTATATAAGTACAAGTGAAAGTTTGTAGGAAACCAACGAGGCAAAAAGATTATGATGAACCAGATCAATAGAATATTGGAGATAATATTAGATACAAACTAAAAAAAAAATGAAATGTTTCAAAAATTCCGTTTTTAAATGTATACTGTTATTATATGCAACCAATATTACAAATTACTAGTCACAATGTTCTGGAGAATTGTAAAACGAATATATTAATAAATTGTAATATTGAATCTAAAGAATTGTTTGTGAATTATAGTGTTCTTATAAAAATTAAACTTCTTTACGTCTTTTAACATTGCAAAGTGACGTCATGAGATTTATCTTAAAGCAAAAGTTAGATTTGTTATGTTGGTGTCAGTGCTTGCCATGCCAGCAGTGAAATGTTGTCATGTGCCTACGTCAGGAGTAATGTCACATTTGTCAAAATAAAACCATAATTACAAAAATGGCTGAGAAAAAGAGAGGCAAGAAAAGAAAAGATGTAAGTGTTCAAACAATTATTGATATATGTATTTATGTTTACAAAAACAAAGATAATGCTGTAGTTTATTATAACAATATAAGACATAGGTTTTTTCGGTTTCAACAGATCTTAAGTTAACATATTGCAAAAATAATTGTGCAGGTAATCAAAAGTCCATAAACAAGCAAAAAAACTAAGAAATATTTTTATTTTTAGAGGTATCAGGTTATACATTCCACCTGCTTCTTATACGGTATACGCTACCGACATTATTATGTTTCTGCAACGTTTTTGAGCGATCAGTTTCGCGTTAAAATTCTTTAAATTCACTAATTCTGCGTCATATTTGAATACATTGGTTTTGCATGATGCATACTATTAAAATTATAAAGAAAATCGAAAAGTACGTGTCCAATTGTCATTCATTACATTATTACTTATTGTAATCATTGTATGATTAATTATTTTCAAATAGTTACATACTAATTAAATAATTAACTTTTAACATATTTTAGACAAACTTTTGTTGTTTTAGAGTATTAAAATGCTGAAATATTATGTGTTTTAAAAATTAGAGCATTGTACTTGTTTGTGACCATCCATGCATTTTAGAGTGATGACTAACTGTACTCCTATTGTTATTTACATACCTGCTGGCTATAACAGTACACAGTTATTTCCTGTGCTCTGGTTACACTAAAAAAACGGGATTATTACATTAATACCTTGGTTATTTTGTTGTATTTTTAGTATATTCTGGCTCTGGTACAAACTGTATTTTGAAAATATTCAAACTGTTGTGACTTTCTTTATTTTATGATGCTCTGTTCAGTATATCTTCAATATATCTCATCATGACCACTATATTTTCTTTCTGCTTTTCTGTATCCCATATTTTTTTTAAATAGCAGTTTGTGCAGTTTTACATAGCCCTTCTCCATATAGCGATTAGTTTTGTTGCTGTAATATAATACCTTTGGCATTGGTAAAGATACATTTATTGTTCCTTAATTTAATTAATTATTTATTTTACTTATCTGGCCTCTTCTCTGTAGCATAGGTACAGGGTAACTAAAATCATCTTTTAAATCTTACTAATCAATTATATTATATATATATATATATATATATATATATATATATATATATATATATAATATAATTTAAATTGTCTGTTTTTTAGCCCTTATATATTCACCTGTAGTGTATTTTCTATTTTGTGTACTATGAGTGTACCCTATCAATAATTGCAGCAATTTATTGATAAATAATTTATAGGGATGTATATTTTATGGAACTTACAACAGTTTAAAGTTTAAATACTGTAGAAACAGTGTCCACAGCTTTGAAAGAAAATAATTATGAGGACAAAAAATGTTATCTGTCATTTGTTGAACATGAATTCTTTTTATATACTTAGTTATTGGAAATTCCAATATTAAAAACTAAGGACACTTGCCTATCATATCTTTATATTCATTTCTGTAATATTTTCTATTTTCAAGTGCTCTGAGTTTATTTATATACTTGAAAATGTAAAAACCAGTTATTTTTAACTTTTCCATTGTTTAGCATAGTTTATGTACTAGTTCTTCATGTAAACATTTACTTACTCAGTGGTATTATAATGTGTACATAAACTACTTTCATCAAGATCTTTTCATGTGTATTTTATATAATATTATCCAATAATGAATGATATTCTTGTGTTAAAGGATAACATATCAAATAATTTAGAGGCTTTTAAATGCTGTTAAAAGATTTTAATCCAATTATATCAAGGGTGAAGTCATTCAAGTGTTATAAATCCTTTTTTTTTTAATTATTATTCTTCTTCTATTTATTGGCTTGCATACTAGTGCATCCACCAGCACATTTGTTAGTATTGCAGCTTGTCTTGCTCTGACCACCAAATTAATCTCCTGAGTTAACATTTCAGGGGGTGTGTGCTGTGCTGTTACATGGAGCAAGAAGTGTTTCAACTATATGCTGTGGTACTACTTGTTTAAACTAACATATCTTGAAAAAAGACTTCCAACAGTTTTCAACTGACCACCATTTTAACCAGTACCGTTAGATAAAATACCTTACAATATACAAATCCTGTCTGGTGACATTTTAGATAACTATATTAGAATGTCTCCTCTAATTGAGTTAGTTGACCCACAAAGTTATCGCAAATATTTTTAATTCAATTAATAGTAATTATTTTTTGACAAAACTTATCATTCATTCATTCGTTCATTTATTTTTTAAATAAAATATTGCTGCTCATGACATTAATTTTTTTCTTAATATGATAATGTAAGTTTTCCTGAAAAATAATGGTCAAAAATTAGGGTCTGCAGCAAAAACGAGAGGTACCAAAGATAAGGGAACATTCATAAACTATGTTGTTGAGAATAGGCTGGAGGTGGGGGAGGTTGCTTATTAAGATGGTATATGACAGGACAGATGAAGGCATTAGTGCATATCCGACATCATTTAGTGTATTTTAATTTGTTGCCATTGTCTCTATAAATATAATTTTTTAGTAACTTCTACCAAAGGGCAACATTATTCCAAAATATATAAAAACATTAAGTCTCAATATATTTGTAAATATAATTTTATAGTTAATTTTAAAAAATTCAGACATAGCATTGAATTAAAAAAAAACACTGAAAGGGAGGTCATGAGTTGCAATGCTGACATTGACATGAGGGTGGGCCCGACTGAGAAGGACACTTTATAACAAAGTGGAGGCAGGGTATTAAAAAGTCCAAATGTTCTTATGATGTTCCCAAAAATAAAAGACAGCTAGCGAGCAACGCTACTGGTTTGAAGTGTCAGTTATTAAGGTTTGAGTTTTTAAAGCATGCATCTATAGATATATAATAATATACATATTATCATTTGTCAAACCAGCGTTAACAGCTGGCAAGCCTAATTTTCGACCAATTTTTCTCAAGCAACCATATAAATCATATTAAGGAAAAAATTAGCTTTAGTGTGATATAAAAATCATGCATATATGTCATGAACGACATATTTTATTTTAAAAATAAAGAATGAAATAAAATATTTTTCAAAAACTAATTACTATTAATTAATTAAAAATATTTACAGCCATTTTTTTGACTGGCAACCTATTATCAATGACTTCTCCTAATTTTAAATGTGTGTAAAAATATGAGTTTGCTGAACTACGTTATGAACATATAGATAAAGCAAAACCTTAAGATGTAGACAAGTATGAAAAATTAAAACATTACAAGCTTTGTACTATCACAACTTTTTGACTATTAACTTTAAGGTACTAGTCAAGATTAGAAGGTTAAAAAATGAATATTTTTGAAAAAAAATTCAGCTCCTTTTAGATACGAACATGAATTTTTTTTAATATTATTTTATCTTTGAGTTAAACTTAAACACAAAAAATCCTTTGGTTTTAGTTCACATGAATAGCCTGTTTTATAGAGGGCGCCTAAGCTAACATATAAAAAAAAGTGTCTGATGGTGAACAGTAGTTCTCAGGATTGGTTTAAAAAAAGCACCTTGCAAGATAATCAATCACTTTTAATCGACAATATTAAAATCAAAAACAAAATGGCGGACATTTGAAGAGAAGGTTGAAAAAAGTAATTTTTTTACCAATTTTTGCATGTCAAAATTAATTTTTTGACTTTTTTTCTAAATAGTGATTAATTGCCTTGTAAGGGCACTTTCTTTAAGTAATCCTGTTGGATTTTTTTCCTGAGTTGTTTTCATGTACCTACTTTGTCTTTGAGACATTAACTTCTATAGTAAAATTCATTAAGCGGTGCAGGAAAATATAAACATTAAATCGTGTCCGAACCGGTATGAACCGCCGATAACATCGCCAGACGAAATAAAGATGGACATTCCGGTTAGTTTTTAAATATTTTTGAAGAACTGTTACTTGCATTTATGCATAAAATATTCATTAATTTTATAAATTGGAGTATTTTTTCACTTACTTTTATTCAGTGATAACATTAATTTATTTACTATGCAATAAACACGAATATTTGAGAAAAGAAAAAAAATAATAAAGTGTCATAATTATACTGTTACTTATCGGAACGAGTAGACTCATTTGTAACATCTTTAACAATTATCTGTTAAATTTATCGTTGTTTATATGCCCTGCACCGCTTAATGGAATAAGGTATAGACCCATCTTCTTCTTTTTGTGCCACTCCTATCGGAGATTGGAAATCATCAAGGCTATTCTGACCTTGTTTACGGCTGACCTAAAGAGTTCATTAGTGGTGCAGCCAAACCACTCTCTCAAATTCCGCAACCATGACATATTTTGAAGTAATGTGTATTTATGTCCTCTCATCAGGTGACCAAAATATTCGAGTTTTCTTCATGCGTTAACAAAATCTCTGGGTCTTTTCCTATTCTTCGTATTACTTCACAGTTTGTTATTCTTTCAACCCAACTAATCTTCAGCATTCGACGGTAGCACCACATCTCGAAACTTTCAATATTTTTCATGTTGTTCTGTTTGAGAGTCCAGGCCTCTACACCGTATAATAGCGTGTTAAATACATAGCCTCTCAGCATTCTTAATCGTAGAGGGATGCTTATATTTCTGTTGCAGAAGAATTTTCTCATCTTTATGAAGGTGGCCCTGGCAATTTCGATACGTCTTTTTATTTCACTGTTTTGGTCTCCAGTTTCGTTTATTAAAGTTCCCAAGTATATAGTAGACCCATACTAGGTGCCATTTCCTTAAAATATGTATAAATCTTTTCTAGGTCTTTTAATGTCCAGTTAATTGTGTTTATATCATCTGCATAAGCTATGACTTAGTTAATCTTTCTAAATATTGTACCTTCTCTATCTATAGGAGTTTTCCGGATAATATGTTCCAACACAAGGATAAAAAGTGTTGCATCTTCTTGCATTAGACATTTGTTTATATTAAATTCATGGGACAGTTGATTTTACAGTACTTACTTATATCTGGGTAAAAACTGTGTTGCTGAATAATGATTAAATTTTTA